AGAGACGATAAGTTTGACGCTTTGTAAGAGCAATAAAGAGGCCAACACACACGTGATAGTTCAACCGCAATATGTCTCTCTGAAAAGCTATTACGAAACGAAGCCGCAAAGCATCGTTTCCTTTCGGATAAAAAAAAGTTCCGAATTTAACGATAATATACTCTTGGCGTTTTTAATAAATTTCAACACAATAATATGCGCATCTTGTAATCTAATTCAACAATTATCACATTTTATTGAAAACAACGAACAAAATAATGATCGCGGCGAATCGACTTCAGGTGTCCGTGTAACCTGAAATACGCTATAAGAGAGTAACACAGATATCGATGTAATGGACGGAAATAGCTTTTAATTCATACGCCGCAGCGACAAAAAAAATAATATCGGACCGGTTCGCGTCGTGTCTGGGATCGGAAATTCGCTAGCGCCAAGAACGAGCGGATAATCCTACGCGCGCGCGCGTTTCACAGTTCATTGATACCGGCCGTTAAAGACAACTGCTACAGCCCACGGCCAGACAACTCCCCGTGTTCGAGTCTCTCTGTCTTCCCTCGGTCTTTCTGTCGGAGATAGGCCCGTCTACCGTTCCGCCTCCTTCTCCTCGACCTCCTGCTCCTTTTTCCATGCCATTTTCAACCGGTGCAGTTTGCCTACTTGCCGTCTCGCCAACAGCGGTTTTCTCAAGAAACATCCGCGCCTCCGAGCAGAAATCATTTCGCTGCTCCCTCGTACCGGCATCTTTCGAGCTTTTGCAGTAGATATGAAAAAAAATATCATTTCCGACGACGACGGTTGCCGCGAGACAAGACACATTTATATTTGTCATAATTTTATGCAAAATTATTCTTGCAATCCAAATGCGAAAATAATGTATTCTCGTTTTTAAATTTTTTTCTTTTTGTTCATTCCGCGAGGTCTGATCTCAGAGAACTTGGAAAACTTTCGAATTATTGTTTCGATATTGCATTTGCTTGTAAGTTTTATTTTCCGTAGTTGTATTTTTAAGACACGATATATACAATAGAGATTTGTATGTTTAGATAGAAGTTGCGAAATATTATTATTTCTATAAATCTGGACGCGAGAGAAGAAACTTTTACTTGTTGAATCTCGGCATTTTCTGCGTCCGCTTCCGCGAAAATCCGATCCGAGGTGCACTTGTCAGCGTTCAAGTTGCACATTGAGTATGCGGACACGTACTGCGTACGTTACTGGCTGTTACACAGCAGGCCGAGGGAGGCAAACGTGCCACGATCTGGTTATTCTAGTTAACATCACCGGTGCACGAAGCTCCTTTCGCCTACGTCGTGCGCGCTCATGGTTTTCATTTTTTTATGCCTCCACGAGTTTAAATACTCGGAACACATATCGACAAATAATACACAGTCGTGCAAGACAAAATACTTTTCTTGAACGATTACCAACGCGAAGTTTAATGTATGAAGTATAGTAGAACGTTTTAAATTTTTTTAAAATTAAATTTGTATAATTAATTAAATTTTTATAAAAATTGTTTTAAATAAACACACAATTTCGATAACTTTTCAGACGAGTTAATGCATATTTTTTTTTATAATATAAATTCTTGTGGTGTGTTTTTCTGTGTTGCACGTTCAAATTATATATTTATGCAAAAACGTAAAAATACTTATAATTATTTTTTAAATATCGATTTGTAAACCATTATATATTATTATGTGCACCGACTCTCGGATATAACCGTATACAAGTAAAGATAAAAGCGACCGGTTTCGCGAATCTAACCGTAAAAACGTGCACCCCACGAGCTATTCTCGGAAGCCAGGAGTAGTCGATGAAAGGAGGAAGACGACGAGAGTAATGCTGCAACCGAGGAAGAGAACTCTCTCTCTCTCTCTCTCTCTCGTGTGGATGTACACAGTTGCACGACGAAACGACGTCCGCCCTTCTTTGAGCCTAACCGCCCTAGACATTCCATCGAGATGACTCCGAGGACCGCACTCTGCGGGCGGGTGTTCCGCGGCGCACGTTCTGTGCGTGTCGCGGAGGAGAAGAGGAAGAGGAGAGAAAACAGAAGGGAGTAGCGGCATCAAGAAAGTGGACATTGTCTGGTACCAAAGGACATATAAGGATGTCCCCGCCGTACTCTCGCCAGAAAAGATAGCTCCTTCTAAGGTATCCTGCAGGATCGACTTCTCGTAAATCTCTCCAGGATACGACGCGACGGTATGCCATTCGATGCGTCGGATATTAAAAGAAACGAATGCGAGAGTTGGTTTTGCTGATTAGATAAATGTCACGAGAGATACCTAAATATCTAACTCCGTTGTCGATTGCGCTATCAAGCGGCGAGCGACGAAGAAAATTTGCATCGGAATGTATCCGATTGCAAAACAGCGAGAAAGCTTCGAATCATTCTTCGGTATAAGATTATTAACACATGTCTGTTCTATAAAAAAAAATATAATTAAATAGGATCAAAGAGCCGACAATTCAACGGGTTTATGTATTTTTTCAAAATTTGAGTAACTTACGTTGATATGTGTTTTATAAAATATTTTTTATTTATTTATTTATTTATTGATACTTCAGCCTTGCGGCCAAGAAGGGAACTTGGAACTTACATCTTTCTTACAACACATCTTTTGTCTCTTATCCTATTTCTTATATATTATTTACCTTATCATATTTCATTTCTCGTGTTTCGCGCGTGCACGCTTGCTACATCTATTATCCTTACTGATCTGACCTGCTCTATCTAATCTCTTCTCTCTTTCTCATACCTTTCCTACACTATAAATTATACACTATAAAAATATACAAAACATCACAAAATATCACGAAGTTTGGTTTTAATTTTAATTCTCACTATCTTACAGTTACGCAAACATATAATCTTATCTCACAGACATATTTCATATATTACATATGCACACATATATATCTCTACTACACCATCTTATATTACACTGTTTTAACTTATTTACCTTTTCACTAGTTAATCTATCTCTCTTTCCTCCTCCTCTTCCACATCCTGACTAGAGTTTATTTTATTTTCTTTTGTTTTATAAAATATATATTATGTTAATAGTATAAAAATCAAAGAAATCTAGTATAAAAATATCGATTTTAATATAATCCACTTAAATAATCAAAAAGATAATAAACTCCTTGAAACTACGAACAATCAAACTTGATCTCGCGCCACCTGCGCAAATTCTCGCTCTTCAGTGCAATCACCCGCGTGACGTAAAATCAATGCGAGACAACTCACTCGCGTTACGTTGACCCTGGGACGACAACGTTGTATGCATTTACTATCGTAGACATATGCGTGTACCGTGACGACGGCAACAACAACAACGACGACGACGACGACGACGACTGCGTCGTCGTGTCCGGATGCTCGCCTGCGAAGATCGCACGGAGCAAAAAGTCCTCTCGCAAACCAGCCAGAAAACAAGAAGAGCTCGAGGAACTGCCAACGCTGACTGACTAAGAAACCAACCGTTTTCGACGCGCTCTGGTACACCGCAAATATATTCGCCCGCGAAAAAGTCGGAAAAAGTCTCGTGACGTTCAAATATGTGAATTCCAGAGAGAAAAAGAGTAATATAAAAAATTGAAAAGAAAATCCAAATTCAAATTCTACCTCAAAATTGTGATCGAATTCAAAAGAATACACAATTGAAAATAATCAAAAAATCAAAGTTTGAAGAAAAAATAAGCACAAAATTTGAAAAGTAAAATAAAATAGATAATAAAATAAATAAAGTGAAAAAAAAAAAACTGAAAAGTGTTTTCTCCACGCAAATATAAAGTACTTCAATATCTAAATGAATAATTGCTTTTTGTTTTGACGCCATACAGAGGATACGTAGCGCGAAATTCAACAATTCTAATCGAGAACGCTGTCGCATTCATTTTATTGAATTGATGTCAGTGGCAGATGTTACACCTCCCCTCGCGCGGCAGAGTCAGAGATATGCGCCGCGACGACGGCGCCCGAAGAGTCAAACGAGCCAAGTGGCAGTCAGCTGATTTTGACAGATCCCGTTTCAGCAGATGTGTGGGAGGGCGTAAAAGGTCACCCTCCTCCCTAACGGCACAATAAACCATCGGTCGAGCATTGTCAATTCTGCGGTCTGCAGAGTTTCTCAAACTTCTGAGAAACCCAGCGGATATAGTTATTCGGATAAAAATAAAAACGAAAATGAAATAAAAACCCGAAAAATACAATTACAATTTAAAAATAATTACATGAAAACTTTAAGCAGTTGTTAAGAAATGTGCTCACTTATAAATTAAACATACTATAAGTGGTTCTGTGTTACACACACATCGGAAGTATCTTCGATCGTGACCTAACATTCCGATCGGTCTCGCATTTTGGGAGACCCTGACCGAGTTGCGCTCACAAACAATCGATCGATAGAGAGCTCCGTCATCCCCCGCGTCATGTACCTTTTCAGATCGCGGATATATTAACATTCGAGAAGCCAGCTGTCAGGCCAATAAAATGCTATTCAAATGTGCGGCGCGGAAGAATTACATATAATAATAGTAGGGGCATATTCAATGCGATCGCGTACGGCCTATTAGTTCCGTGGTTCCTCTTTTGTGAATGTGGAGGACACTCATTTAAACACTCGTAAACGCATGGAACGACGCCACATGTTCATCGTAACTTTCTTAAGACGAACTTACAACGGATACTCATTACGCGGGTTTTGTATTTTTTACAGTTGTGTAACACACACACACACACACACACACCAGAACGGTTAACTCGCTTGTTATTTATGCGCTTTCTAATGCTATTTTTGACCTCCTGTATATTATTGCACAGCTTATTTGCTTTAAAACTTTAGTTGTTATCGAATTTTACTTAATAATGAAAATACGTTTGCCGAAAAGAGGCATTACGAACGCACGCAGCAACATACAATAGGGTAGGTTTGTTACTTTCGTTTGCGACTTAAGAATAGGTTCAAAGTGCAATGGTTCAAATTACTCACTCTGTTGGGTTGTACGTGCCAGCTACGCCTTTTCCCGTGTCTCTGTATGCCATCCTCGGAAATGGTTAGGTCGGCCCTGCTGCCGACCAAACAACCCCCCGTATCGTATTGGCCAACCAGAAGCCTCAATCGATTTCCTGGACAGATGCCCTAAGGAAGAAAAAATAAATATAATAGCGTAATAACAGCTTGACTATGTCTCGCAAGGGTAAATGCCTAATCATGTTTCACGAAAAAACAAAATTGGAAACGCAGTTGTTATTTCACAAGTTTCTTTGCAAAAACAAATAGATTTGGTTTTGTCAAAAATTAGTCTTTTTCCATTTAATTCTTTATGAAGTCTCTCTCTCTCTCTCTTTCTATTTGTTACATTATTATAATATCTAATTTTTGTTTATATAGTTCAGTTGCCACATCTTATTTTTTTTCCTAGAAATATGTAAACGCTGTTTTACTTACATCGGAAAACACTTTTTGAATGGAAGCAGACTCCAATTAGAAGGGTGTGAAAGCGCCACAGTGAGTTTGTCTAATTCCGTGAAATCGGGACGAAAATAAACGTCACCGTATCCGTTGCACGGTGCCTTGAGAAATAAGCGTTAGCATTGAGAGATGCATCCTGCATAACTCATTCGTTTACCTCGCTAGCGTGTCTGAATGCTACAAAGTTGTAACTCATAAATTTCAAGAGATATGTGCCTTTCGTGCACGCTTTCGGTATACAAGATATGACACTAACGTTAAGGATCTCTGCGCAGATCATTGGCTTTGGTAATATCACGTGTTGGGATTTCGGATTTTTCTGAAAATTTCGCGATACGAAATACGTATAAGAAATACGTGAATACCAAATCTGCAAAATGTCAATGCGTTAATTTCTACTTTTCTATTGTTAAAAACAAAGCGACGCATTTTTCTCGAGATTTTCTCAAACAAATTTTAATATCTTTCTCTGGTTTATAGCACACGGCGGAAGCTGAAGCGACGGTGTCGTGAAGTGATATCTATTGATAGCGAGTGATAGCGAGTCGAGTTTTATTCAATTCCGAGCAGATTTCTGTCGGTCGAGAGCGATAAATTCACCGCAAAAGGAAAAAGAAACCGACTCTCTCAAGTTCGATTCGCCATGAGACGACGAAAGAATCCATCCCGCTGCTCTCGCCGCGGTCTCTCAATAAAACTATTCCGTCAGAAGTTTCCAGTTCCCAATAAAAATCCGAAGATCGTATCATTCCGCCGCCCACGCCACACGTCGCTCCCATGTTCTAAATTATATCGACCGCGTGTCCAAACAGGTCGCACGTGTGCGGCGGTTACGAGGCGATGTGATGTGTTTCGACCGAGAATCGTTTGAGGAGTAAAACGGACCGATATATGATCGACGTTCCTCGCGGAGGTTGTCCGAGGTCGTGGACCCGAGGTTCGGGAACGCGGAAGCGCTCTTCTCGTGTAGTTACTCCGAAACAGTAACGATAACACGAATAACTCACGCAGTGTGAGTTCGAAAACAGAGTTTTGTTGTTGGGCAAAGCGTCCCGACGTATTACTTCGGCACTTCACAACGCTGTTTGTTGAATTTTAGAGGTTCTGTTAACAAGCAATTGTTGCGTTGTTCTCCTTGTAATTGCGCTTTAACAAGTGTCTAGACACGGTGTCGGCGCCCTTTCAAAAAGTATCCAGTTAGCAAATGTAAAGACGCTTATGGTTGCCTGGCATCGTCGTCGGTTAATGCGACTGCCATTGAAGGTAACTACGATGAACGGTCGTTAGTTCCATTTCCGCGGTAATAACGCTCGTCATACCTCGAGTACCTTCGAGCCGCTCCGGCGCAACGACTCTTATGCATTATACAGATGTTCATATAAGCCAGTCTTGTACACGCGAGGCACTTATGTGTTATGTGGAAGCCGACGACATCTTTGTTATCGTTATAGACAAGTTTATTTGTAAAAGGGAACATTCTAAGTTCCCAGAAAGAGGTATGGGATAAGTTGGCACATTGACGTTAAAGACGAAAAGATGTGTTTGTCTTTCGATAACGTGTGCTTTTATCAGAAAAGTAACAAAAAGAACGCAACGCACAAGTAATAAAAGTTAAATTTACTTAGAAACTCTTTCTAATTATTCATAAAAAATCGTTGAACATAATTCGAGAAGAAAACATTTGTCTACGTTCTATTTTGTTTGTATATTTTTTTCGATTCGAAATGATAAATATAGACACTGGTGATACCCAATGATTCGCAATCGCGTACGCCGGTTGTGCGAATTACACCGCATAGTCATGTCTAACACAAAGCAGAAATCACGAGGCTAGATCATCTGGCAGTCAAGCCGTCCTATTTTCGCGGTAATAACGTTGCTCACATAGGAGAATGGGAAAGACGGGAGAGAGAGAGAGAGAGAGACAGACAATTTCGCTGTGGATCTGCGTCTTATGCATTATAAAGACGCGCATAAATAATACGTTCACGAAGTACGTACGTGAACGTACTCGACGCGTGCTGTACATTAATACGATGGGTAAACTCCATTAAGAGCGTGATAGGACAAGAAGAATCGGTTAATGGAAAACGCAGGTGAAATTCCCGAGTCACAAATAAGTTTCTTTCCATTACACGTTCGTCTATTATCCGATCGGGTAGCAAACGTAATTGAACTGTAATTGGTTAGTGGAATGTTGTTTAAAGACGCGCGGCAATTTAGAAATAAAATCGAATTTCTCGTCTCATCTGAGGTCGTTCGTGGAAAGTTTTTAAACAATTACCTGCCGACCTCGCAGCGCGCACAGCCACCATCCCTCAAGACCGGCGGTGTTCTGCTCCAACACGGTAAGGACATCACCTTTTCGAAAGGCCAGCTCGTCGGGCGCCTCCGCGATATTGTCGTACAGAGCTCGCGCTTTCACGCATTTTTGCTGTAACACAAAAAATCACACACGTACAGTAACAGATAAACTAAGAAGAAAAGAAAGAGAAATTGCATATTGTTTTCATCCACAATCGAGAAACATGTTAAAAAATAATCAGAAAAAAAAATATATATTAGAAAATTTTGCAAAATTTTAAGTTTTTGCAAATATTTGCCACACATCGGCTCGCGAAATTCCGCTCTGCGAACATCCTGTATATATATATATATATTCTCTGACTCGACATATTTTCCACGGCGGATGTGCAATACGTATTGCGGACAGATGGCACGTCGTCGTTGTATCGGTACCCGCAATTGGTTTCATTCGAAAAGTCAACGAGCCAGTAGTTTCCACGAGCGCGCGCCAATTGGGTACGCAGCGCCCTTTGGCCAATTTAAATCCATAAAATCCTAGTGTATATACGTCTACCGTCGTCGAGCGACTTCTCCTCTCCCCTTCGCACGGTCCGTCGTGTCTATTTCGAGACACGAGCATCTCTCGTCTCTCCCGTTGTTCCGCCGCCACGAACGGAGATGCACATAACGATCACTTAAACGGCGAAGCCGTCCTCGAAGTGCAGATAGATGCGTTTTACGAGGAAGTTGACGGTAGCGGCGGTAGCAACAGCTCTTTCCTTCAAGTGAGTTCAATTGAAGTGCCTCGACCGTTTCTTTATCTTTCCCGAGTCTTTTTGTATCTGTTTCGCTTCATCACAAGCGCGGCGTGATGTCACGCCGCGATCTTTAATGAAGTTTCGGCGCCGCGATGTAGTCCGGAATTAACGCGTCGCTGCAATTATTAAGCGCGGGATGCTACTAAATATAATTGCCACTGCGCTTCTGGGAAGGCTACGCGTGGAAAACCGAGCTCCTGCGGCGGTGATAATTCTCTTTAACACGGGAAGAGGCGTGCAACAAAGTTTCAGCGCGAAGTAAAGATGTTCGTGTTTCGAGAGAAATTCTCTTGACGTGGTTGCGCGCGCGGTGTTACCAAGTACAATTTAAAAACAAAAAATATGAAAAAGGAAAAACAACTTGTAACACACAAAAACAATTAATAAAATCAAAATAGAATTTATTCTGTTGCTTAATTAGTTCTCAACGAATTTTCTTATTTCTGCAGATGATCTTTTTCGATAATTAATTTGGACTAGCGCCAGGCGGGAATAATTAAACACGAACGGGAAAATGTGTGCGAGAACGAGTGCACTTCAAATAACATGAATATTAACGAGGTCGAATTATAACTGCATTGTTTCTTTTTTTTTGAAGCAAAAATTAACTTTCTCATTACTTTCTCTTTTTTCTCATTTTTCGGCAGTATAATTTGGATTTTCACATTTTATTTCAATAATCTTTTCAATTAAAATTAAATATTCTCGTCGCGTGAGGCAGTTGCGTGCTGGTTTCACCTTCGCTCTCGATTCGAATCGAGATAAGCTCTCACCGTGCCCGCATATCTATCCGTACATATCCGTCTAAAGCCGTGCATCTCTCGATCTGTTTGTATTGACGTTTCAAGTTCATTGTACGTCGGATCGATTCTTTTTTTAAGATGGGAAACGACCAGGTTGCATGCTGCGAACACGATCCAAGCCCGTCAAGAATGCAGAATCGTTACCATAAAAGGCGGCGCGTCTGCTCGCCGAACGTTAAGCCAGAGACGCGCAGGTACTACGCACCTACGACCTTTTTCACTGACAGATACACTTGCGAAGCGATCGAAGATTGAGGTATCCTATATCAAATTTTATTGCTCATTTCTTTTCATCTCATCTCTTCTCCCTCTTTTCATCATCGAAAATATCGAATTCAACATTTCGCGTAAAATACACGTCGTACAAATATTGACTGGTAAAATACGGAGAGAATTAATGTCAACATGAGCAGAATTTTAAATATGTTGACATTTACAAGTTGCCGTTTGGACGACATATGCGGACACTGTCGGGATCAAAAAGTCCACACACAGGACTTTGACGCGGCTATACGCATGAGAACCTGACCGAAAAGGAATGATCCACGCCACACGGAAGGCTGTATTTACGCAACCCTTCCTTTGTTCGGCTTAAAAAAAAAAGAGCACCCGCAGCGTCTGCGTTTTGCCGTCCCGCCGAGGCGAGAAAGAAAAACATCGAGGGACGCGGGTCAAATAGTTTCTCGTGTTGACGTATAAGCTCGCTCCGAATGCACATCGCGAGAAAAAAAAAAAACTAATTGTTTTCGTTACGCACTCTTTTGTTAGATCTTACTCAGTTAATCGATCGAAGTTGGAAGCTTTTAAAAGTGATCGCTTAATGATTCACGCGCGTGACTAACTCGATTCATCAAGTCGCTTTTTATCGGGGGTTACGAGGCGCACTTTGCCACCCGTGTCAGTTCTTTTGCATAATCCCTATCGCGCCAACGATAATCACGTCTATCCGGTTGAAAGGAATCGAACTGACGCGGAGAGTAAAAATCAGATCGAATCGCGCGACGGCGCCAAGCCGTATAACGTTAATTTCTACGTAATTCTAAACTCAATTATTCGAGAATTCGCGCAAAGTTAATCAAATTTTTACGCAAATGCACGAGTCGAAATAAAAAGTTCGCTTCATTTGCGATGAAAATCTGCAGCTTAAAAAAGCAAACAAATCTAAATAAATAGAAGCGTAAATAGAAAAAATACGAGGACAATATCAAGTTGCTGTATCCCATTTTTTTCAGATGAGAAAAAATTGCTATTCTGGTTCGCACGTGAAGGGAAATAATTATTCAAAAAAAATGTGAAAAAGGGCCTGCAACACAGCGAAGCGCATTAATTGCTTTCGACGGCACGTCACACTTTTTGAGTCCGTTCTTAATGATGGGTCTCTAGTTTGAAATTTAAATTGCGCAAAAGCTATATATATATATATATATTTGCCAGCTTCTGTGTTTTCCTGGCGCACGTACGCGAGGTACACGTCGTGCGTCGTGACGTAGAGTAAAGTAGCCTTATACAAATATCGCGTCCGACCGAGCGTGTTTTGCGGAGGGTTAAAACCGCTTTGTAGACACGTGCCGCTCAGAAGGAGGTAAGGTATCGTTACGGTTACGTGGTTCCTGTTTTTACTATATTACTGTTATCGCATGCGCTCTGACAATGAATTAAAATGTATATGTGTGTGTGCGCTGCTCGACTACACAAAGATGTTACATACTTACAACGTCACATATTCAGAATGTAAATCAACATCCTGCGAGAGTCCGTGATAAAACCCCGCTGTGTTTTACAAACAACAATTATCAGAATATGCACACGTACGTTTGAGATCGCTGTTACATAAAAAAACACAGATCTTAACTTTTTCATCAGAATATACGAGTGTTGGTAAAACTGTAATCCAATTACAAGTAAGCTGATAAGCGGCGGCACGTTCTACGGGAAGAAAGGGCAGCTATGTGTAAGTATTGTATACACTCGCGTGTAGGGGCAACGTTTCATCGAAGCGCGAATAATGCGATTTAGTTAATCACGTGTGAACGGAACACGCGCGAGAAAGTGCACGTTTGTGTCATCCCAAGTTTCAAGTTCGTGCGATACCTAAGTAAACAAAAGACGGAGATAAAATAATCTCTTTCGTTTTACTCAAACGTGTGTCAAAACAAGATTACTCAAAACAAACACCGTCTTCAGATATTTTAGAATATTGTGATAGAACATTACGAAAAGGAATAGTTTATTCATCGTCAGACACGTTTTCATCAGTCGCAAACGAAACAATTCGAGAAGTCAGTATCTTTTTCTACAGGAAAATTTAACCGGAGTTCAAAGTGAAATTAGAAAATGCTGTGATAAAATCTGAGCGACATCAAATCTTATCGGTCACATCGCGAAGTAGATCCATTTCTGTCGAGTCCGTGACGAGAAGGGCGCGAGCGCGAGCTTTTTTGTTCGAAATAAACCGAATAATTACTAGGCAATTCACGCGCGAATAAAGAACGACTCTTGGGAAATGAAAGGCCACGCGTCTCGGGCGGTCGTATTAAAACCGGCAGCGGGCGGTCTTTTCTCTTAGGGTGCCGACGGAAACGATTGATTAATGAGGAACGTGCGTGTATGATGCGACAATTACGCCACGCCAGACGCGCCAATCGCCCACGCACGCCACGCACGCACGATCGTGCGCGTCTCCATGTCAACGGACGTGCGCGTGCATATGAAAACGCCGCGCAGAGGGGTGTGAAAATAGCGTGGCGACTCACGCGTGATGGAAGTCTCGAACCATTCGCGAGCGCGCGCGAATTCGCGCGAGCGAAAAATCGTCAGAAGCGAAATTGCATCAAAAAATTTGTTTCGTATGTAATGCGCAAAATAATATTTCAAAATCTCTAAATTGAGTTGTAAACTTGATGCGTACAATGAACGAAAGGGATGCTGGTAATTTCGGACACACATCTTGTGTGTGTGTTGCAATGGAACATATGTAACGTGCGGAGAATTAAACCGCTTCGAGAATAGGGGCGATGGATCTTTTTAAAAAGACGTTTCGAGAATATAACCCAGCTTTAAATTAGCTCGGCATTGTGCGTCGAGCACGGTATCTCGCGATAACAAGGATCTCAGAATAATTCAAACGGACGAGGGAGTAGAGAAACATCCTGTCACGACGCGCCGGCACCTTCTGCTCGCGACAGGAGAGATGGTCCTTCTCGTGATTACGGTGCGTGAAGGAGGACAGATGATGGCACACACGGACCCCCCCCCGGAAATTTCGGTACGCGACTGGACGAAGGGCTACGGGATATATTTGCATAATTCAATTCCCGCCGAGCGGCAGGCGCGACGGAAGCTTGAATTGATCTTATCCTGAGCCGCCCGATCGTGCGAGTCTGCGTCGAAAGCACAAGATCCCCTCTTTTCGCTTCCGTTTTCCCTTCGTACATTTGTCCGAGGATTCTGAAGAAATATCGACGATAAACGTGTAAAAAAACGTGCAACAGACGATTGAAGAATATTCAATTTCTTGGACAACATTT